TTTCGAGAGGTTAATAAATAAATTGGTCGAAAGTAACAACAAAATCAAAACGTAAGAATTATCATTATCACTCAAATGTCTTTGTTGACAAAAGTGAAATGGTGCTGCCCTATAAAAATTATTAATCGATTAAAAAGTAATCAATGGTTTGTATAAATTAATTTATATATCTAACCGAAAAGGATTATTTCTTATGTTTTTAATATATATGATACATGATATTGCAAAAGATTACCTAATGTATATGTATTAATATATAAATACTTTAATTACTTTTATTTTTATTAAAGTTAAAACTTATCGATTAATCGATACTATTAGTAATAGTACTTCAATAACATTTATTGATATGGAAACACAGTGAAATATGTTAACAAAACACATCCGAATCCAAAAAATACTTTTTTATGTGATATTTTTAATGTTTAGTTTCCCATGACGAGAGTATTAAAAATAATTTTTCTTTCAGTTTTAATAATAATTTACTGTTTACATATTTTTTACTTATTAGCTTGTCCACCAAAAGCCAAAATTGAACAATTCTCTTTATGTTCTTTTTTTGTTAATAATTAATAAATACTTATATATATAAAAAGCAAGTTATCGTCATTTATTGATGATATTTCCTAAATCTATTTTTCAACACTCTCAAAGTCTACTAGTAATATAATCTAATCAAATAAATACTAATCTCGAGAACGAGGCGCGAAGTATAATTAATGATTAAACGAACTTACCAAGTGAAGTTCTATCATAATTATACGAAGCGCCTCGTTCGAAGAGATTAGTAAACCCGCCCAACCCTGTGAACATTATTCCCAATACTAAGCTCTCCGGAAATACATCAATAAACCAGATCTATCTCTAAACTTAATGAAGATGGCAGGGAACGGTATCGACTAAGAAGATGAGAACTACCCTCGTAATAAAAAAAAAAAAAAAAAAAAGCAAATGCAAAGAAATCTCAACTATAGTGCCGGAGTAGTGACACATATGCGATACTACTAGTAATATAATCTAATCAAATAAATACTAATCTCTTCGAACGAGGCGCTTCGTATAATTATGATAGAACTTCACTTGGTAAGTTCGTTTAATCATTAAATAACACTGCTTCTTGAAATAAATAACAATACTTCAAAGCAATTAATCTACAGAACCTTATCGACACATCTGACAGTCGAGTTTCTCAATACATCTATTTTATGTCTCTGCCGCCTTCCTTCTTGTATAGATTAACGTGAGCAATACTGCAAATATGTCAAAGTATTTTGCAATTTATTTTTTTATTTTAACTGTATTATTAGAGAAGTTTTCTTGATAACCACAATATTGGTGTTGTTTTATGATTAATAGTCATTTACTACTAACTTTTTCTTTGTTTTTGAATAAATAAATTAATATATAATACTCTGGGATGTATATTTATTCTAGGCATTTATCTTTAGATTTATTTAACTTCTGTTATTTTTTAAACTTATTCGGCACATGGAGACGATGACCAAATAATACAAAACAGCTGTTGTTAGGGTTGTCGTCGTACAGTTTTACTTCGAAAAAAAAATTGGGTCTTGTGCTGGGTTTTAGGCTTAGTGCTTATTTTTCTGTGTTCTATTTATGATACCCTATGTGCCATATTCGGGATTATACAGGTTATACCAAATTATACCAAGCACCCAGTATAGCATTAAAGAACAATGACCATCTGCCTAACATGCTTGGACTAGTAAAATCGAATAAAACGTAACTTGATGAAACATATGTTATTTTGTTTGTCTATACAACTAGAACAAAGAAAGACATCAAATATATTTTTAAAAGCTGGGAGTATCGAGTAATTGTGTAATATGTTTTTGAGGTTATGTCGTATTATTTAAACTGTAGCATTTTAAGTTAGAGGTATTACCACGGTATTACTGTTTGAAATATATAAAGCACACGTCAAATAATGCCTTAACGTGGTCCTAGAAGTGCATACATTCACATAATACTTCAAACTTGCTCCATATGATATGGACCAGACGTCCCGTATTGAACGGGACTGTCCCTTTATTCGACCACCTGTCCCGTTGTCCCCTTGGGACTTAAAATAGTCCCGTTTTCTAAAACCGCGCGAAAAATTGAAATATTGATGCATGTTAGAAAACGAGAGATATATAAATAGGAGAAATATAAATAGGACTAAAAATACAATATGTTGCACATAATTTAATAATGTTACTGTCATATAAATGGTACTTTAATGAAGCTGGTGATTGCTTCTTATTTTTCATAGTTCTAATACTCAAAAATGTTTTAAAAAATTTTGTGAATACAAAATAAAGAAGGTTAAAAAGTTCTATTTATTTTTATTGTTTACCTTCCCACTGGGGTATATGTATATTAGATTTATGGATTAGTAGTATGAGGTATATTATGTTTAGACGTCCCGTTTTGAGTTAAAAGAAAAATGGTCAGTTTATCCATATCTGATATATTATTTTTATTGACTGTAAGAAATAAAATCATTTTTTGTGAACTAATGAACATCAAAAAAATAATAGAATTTTTAAGATTGCTCTCAATAACTCTACTTTTCCATCTTACACAATAACTTATATAAAGTAGTAGTGAAAATACTAATGTCAAAAGGATATAGCAAAACAACATGTTTATTTTTCTTTTCTTTATTACAACTCTAATGAATACCTCATCACGAAAAGCTGCAGGAGCAGCTACATTCTGTTCATGTCTGGCCCATCCAAGATACCAAACTATGGTCATTATATGAGCACAGCATACCAGTGTACATCGACCAATAAAACAATTACAGCAGTGTTCTCTTATGCCATATAACCCGGATGTGTAATTATTTATTAAAATGTACACATAATATTGTTTCCTCACAATGTCTCGACTTAATTCTACCCCTTATAATTAGGACTTTATTTATATTTATGTCTAATTCTAATAAATCCAGAGAATCCGGTATTTCTCTTCAGACCTCAATTCTATACTGCCCATAGAACCTAGTATGCTCCCCATAATACAGAAGATAATACAAAATTGCCGCCAAAGTTACAAAACGGTCTGCGTAGAAACACGTCTAAACATACCTACTTGTCCAAAAATGGGAGGTCGCAATCGGTTATTGAATACTGTAATATAGATTCTTATGAATATTCATTAGTTTTAAATTTCATTATAAATAAACTATTCCTCTAGGTAACATCTAATTATATTAGTAATCTAATCTAAGTTTTATAATTTTCATGGATTTATATGGTTAGTAAATAATATAAGATTTGTATCAAATTAGATTAGTCAGAAATAAAATTGATCTTGTTCTTTGAAAAGAGAGGGCCTTCTCTAGGAATGACATTATTATTAAGATGCGTTCAAAAATAACATAATTTAAACTGCGCTCTAAGAAATAAAGACTTATTTTAGAGAGGAATATCCTTCTTTTCCCAGCTTTTAAAAATAAATTGTTGGTATATAATAATAACATTAAACTTATACTACATTTTGGTAATAGTTCCATCTTGGTACAAGAACTTTTTTTTTCCTAGTCCATTTTGGCCATTGTTCTTTTCATTCAATCAAGAATCTCGTTAATCAATTCAATCAAGAGAACACTATATTATTGTCACAAGTTTTCTATAACTAAATTTAAAAAAAAAAGTTTAATTGTTTGTTTGTACACAATAGGCTCAGAAACTGGTAGACATGAGAAAATTCTTTCACCAACGAGAAGCTACATCATACTCGGACTTATGTCTATTACTCGAATGGACACACACCTACTAATTTACACAAGTGAAGTCGTAGGAAAACAGATAGTTAAATAGTCTGTGATTAGAATAGTTTGACATCTCTACTTCATCTTCTGTACTAATTACATCACATTCAATGTAATTAATTATAACATTACATGGTCTGTATACACATAATACTACAATTTACTCGCCAACATGCAGCTTTATATTGATTGGTAAGTTTTATAATACTTAAAATAAATAACCTGATTTACAGTAAACATGTAAGCATCTGACAGTGAGTAAAAAAAATGTACATACATAACAAACGAAAACAGCTTCACTGTCACACTTTGCTGTCACAATAACAGTCGAAACAAGATATCACAGACCAAACATTTATTTATTTGGACGGTAGTGATGTCTACTAAAGTTACTTTCTCGAGTTGCGCTTAACTCAAGTTGTTTTGAATCGGATACATAAGTATGCGAGTCAAATTTGAAATGAGGACGTTTATTACGCCCATGAAGTCTTATTCTTCGGTTTTAATGTTTTTTTAGGTTCCCTTAAAATGTTGGTTTTCGAAATTTCAGTGTGTTTTTGGAGTTTTCAGAGTCTATCCAAAAAGAAAGATAATCCGACATCTAAAAGGATTTACGAATAATGCACCATATTATTTTATTAAATTATATCATCTTTACTTTCTTAGCTTTGACATGCAGTTTTTATGCTAAAACTAACTATAAATACAAAAAAAAGCAATAAATGCACACCTTAAGACAAATTAGATACTATGGATTCCCTAACTTAATTCTTCACTAGGAACGACTTGCCTTTTATAACTGAACTACCAAGCAGTCACAAACTAATGTGATTATTCTAAAGGTGATCAGTGGCGTAACTAAACCGTTTGAGGCCCGTGGCAAATTCATCGGATATTCAATTTCTTTTACTAATTGCGTAATAATAAATGTCATGATTAAGGAATTTCCTCTTACCCGGGGCCCCTTCCAGCTGGGGAGCCTGTGGCATTTTGCCGACTTGCCACCCTGTAGTTACGACACTGAAGGTGATATTTTTAGAAAATTAACTTATACGAAAAGAAATCATTTTCTCATAATCGATTATTTTTGACTTTAACTCCGCGTCCTTTACTTTGTGTTGTGATGTGTGTTAGTTATGATCGTGTCATGTCGAAAAATACTACCTACTAATCCTTAATCTGTGATGACAACAATAACAAGTTGTTCTGTGACAATGGCAAGAAGTGGGTGAAGCGGATAGAAGAGAAAAGTGGAATTGCACTTGAATTTTATTATTTTATAATTTTAATTATACGTTAATAAATACTACGAGTATCGAAAAACTCAACATTAATAGAAAACCAAAAGGTATGTATGTTTGTGTCATATTGTCTATTTTTAAATTTATGTTTCCATTTAATCAAGTAATTTTTCAATGTTTTTAGAACAAAATGGGACCCCCGAAAAAGTTTAAAAAATATGATTCAAAAACTAGCAGTGACAGATCAGGTAAGGCATAGATATTAAACAATAACTGATTCATTTGATGATTTTGAAACGACAAAATGATCAAGTTTACCATTAAAAGCTTATTACCAAGACGATTAACAATAAATTAGCACAACTAAAAATAGATTAGGTCTTAATTTATCAGAAAGGCAATATGATTTAATTTGAGCCTTTACTCAAACATGTTTATAGCCGCAAACAGATGTAAAAGAAGTTATATAAGGAGTATAACTTACCTGTTAATATCCCTTTGATCAACAATGGTCATGAAAAAGGCCTACACGGGAGCGAAGCTACCACCATAATAATATGGGCGCCTGCACTGTAGGGGCCCCTAATTACTGTAATATTTTTTTTACCATTCATTTGTGCATCCTAACTAATATTGATACAAGGCATGCTATGCCACTAGGCCTACAAGATAATTTATAATGATATTTGCTGACTTATAATCAAATTCACAACTTATAAGTAATTTCTTAATCTAACATTTTGTAATTGCCGGTTCTTAATATGGTTTATGAATTTCATTATTGTAGGTAAGAAGAAAAAAGTTGAAGAAGATACAACAATAGATTTGGTAGATGATGATAATACAGAAAATGTTGGTGTACCTGGAGCGGCCATGCAAGATGCTGAAAAAAATGATCAAGTACCTGAAGATGAGTTTGGAGCCAAAGATTACAGGTATAGTGTAAGCGCCAAAGCTAAAAGTCAACAACAAAGAAAAAAAGATGGCATATTGCACAGAAAAATTGTCATACAATTAATTACTCAACTATTATAATAATTGTAAAAATGCTATGTAATTATCTTGGCTTCACACATAGTTATTAATTTTCCCTTTAAAAAAAGGTTTACTTACAACAAGAATGAAAAAGAAATAATGATATTTTGTTGTTTCAGGAATCAAATGACACTAAAACCAGATAATGCTAGTCGCCCATTATGGGTGGCACCCAATGGACACATATTTTTGGAAGCTTTTTCACCGGTTTATAAACATGCTCATGATTTTTTGATTGCAATAGCTGAGCCTGTCTGCAGGTCTTAATTTTTTTTTTTTATGTCAAAATATGTCAAAAAAAGTATTCTAGCCACATTGCTACTTCTCCATAATTATTATTTACCAGTCATTTTATTTCAGACCTCAACACATTCATGAGTACAAGTTGACAGCATACAGTTTATATGCAGCGGTGTCAGTTGGACTGCAAACTGGTGATATTATTGAATACTTGCAAAGACTCAGCAAATGTGCTGTGCCTGCTGGCATTATAGAATTCATACAGCTCTGCACTCTCTCATATGGAAAAGTCAAACTTGTTTTGAAACATAACAGGTTCGTGAATATTACTATTTTTTTTGTTATAATTTTAACCCGAATCATATCATTTTATCAATTTGTACTCTTAAGTTTCATTAGACATTTTTGAAAATTATTTATCATAAGAATCATCATCATCAGCCTTCATTAGCCGGTTACATATAAATTTACCATCAAACATATTTAAAATCTTCCTGTTGTAGATATCTAGTGGAAAGCAAACATGTGGAAGTGCTACAAAAGCTTCTGAAAGATCCGGTAATCCAGCAGTGTCGGCTAAGACGCGATGGCGATGACGATCTCCTGACGTCAGCTCTACCTACACGCGCTGCAACCGCTACTGCCAGCGGTGCCACCACTAACACAAGTGAGACAAAATCACGCAAGTAATAGTAGGAGTCGCTCACAAACACTTAACACACCACCACGGAATATTGATATACATATATCACTAATAATAAAACAACTGTTTCTTCTACAGAAATGCTCATACTAGTATGTACAATCATGTATTTACTAGTATGAGCATTTCATAATTAAATTATTCCACTATTTATTTCTATAAGGTGATAACTGGCGCGATTCAGGGTCAAACTGATGATATGAATGTTAAGTAATCTAATAACTTCCGATTTCTTAACTGCCTATGCTCTATAAATACTATATACATGTACATGTACACTATATACATATAATATATACATGTAATTTAAAATATGTCTAATGGTTAGCTAAAGTTCGAATATGTTTTATTTTAGGTGAGGAGGCTAAGCCAGCAGGGAATGGTACTGTACCCGAAGACATCAGCCAGTTCTACCAACAGCTGGATAAAGACGACGACGACGACGAAGCGACCGATGTCACCGCCAATACCGCGGTAGCCTTTGAAGTTGACCCTGACAAAATAGAAGTAAGAATATTTATTTACCAAATTGCCTGCAAACCCTATGCCAATAATTTAATGTGTATATCAATCTGAAAATTAAATTCAACAGAAACGTCACAATACATATTTTCTTCCCATTCAATCTTCTGTAAATAAAACAGCTAAACCAAAAGTAAAGTCTACCAAAGCATGGTTCAGAAATACTTTATAAAAGCATGTGGCCGTGGCGTCATCATCAACCCTGTTACATCCCCACTGTAAGGACTCTTGCCTTCCTTATGGATGGTTAAGGAGGATGGGCCTTAAATTTTGCAAATTTTGTTGATAACAAGCTTAACAACAAAGTCAAAATTTTGAACAAAAAATATTGTCTAAGTTTTTATTCTTCTACTAAAATAATTTTGATACATAGAGTAACTAACATTCAAGCAATCAATTAAATCAAAATTTATTCTTCTATGAAAGCAAAATTTTGAGAATTATTAAAAATCATAAAACAAGCATTGTTATTTATGGTTTTATATCTAATCCTCTATATAATGATTAATTTTAATTTTGAATAGGTAATACAAAAACGTTGTATTGAGCTCGAGCATCCACTATTAGCGGAATATGACTTTCGCAACGATACGGTGAACCCTGACATTAATATAGACTTGAAACCCACCGCTGTGCTGCGCCCTTATCAGGAGAAGAGCCTCAGAAAAATGTTTGGGAATGGCCGAGCTAGGTATATCATTAGTTTTGACTAAAATTATGTGAAATAACATTAGCCTAAAATATCAATATTCCAACATATACGGAATAAATATGTGAAACATAATAGGGACATTTGCGTTTAATTCAAAGTAAGATTAAATATATTATATCATTTTTACTTGATTGCTTAAGAATAATGTCTACGTCAATATTTTCAATATTATTTCGTTTTTCTCAGGAAAATAATTATAAAATGTGCTAATATAAAACGCAAAGCTTTGTCAAAATCTATGCATGTCGATGTCATAAAAAGTTAACATAGATGCATAAACATGAATGTTTTATATCATAATCAATTAGTCACAAATCCATTTTGATTTAAAATGTCATATCCATAGTCATAGATATTAACGTACGACAAGCGCGCCAAAAATTCTGGCGTTTAAAGCGCTCGTAGTTTTTATCATTTAATTTAAATTGACAGATATTTACACTTATGTAACAATATAAGTTATACAAGATTATTTAAAAAAGATGGGCATATTCTCTAAAGTATATTAAAAAACCTACAGTAAAATATCAGTAGCTTCATATTGGTGTTGGGCGGTAACTAATTAATTGTTTATGACGTTGGCTATTTAGACATGCTACAAATAAATAATAATAAATTAGGTCTGGCGTGATCGTGTTACCGTGCGGGGCGGGCAAGTCGCTAGTGGGCGTGACGGCGGTGTGTACCGTGCGTAAGCGGGCACTCGTTCTATGCAACTCCGGCGTATCTGTAGAACAGTGGAAACAACAGTTCAAGTGCTGGGCAACAGCTGACGACAGTATGATATGCAGGTACAATTGTTATGTTACTAATTAATAATACATGTTTACATTTTTTAATTCATATCATAATTTATTTAGTCGATGATTATTAAATCTCATAATTGTTATAATGTGAGGAATAAAGTTGGACCTATTTGCATGTACTTTGTAGTAAGTAAAAAATACTTTATTTTGTATTATTTATGCAAATACATATATATTATTATTTACTTGTTTGATTCTTTGAGTAAGGGAAATATCAATGTTCATGGCCATATGAAAGATTCCAGACGACAGCAAACCCCTTTACAAATTTATAAGATAATAAATAAGTTATAAAATTAATTGTTGAAAAACTGTATTCTTTACCTTTTATTGAAATAATCAATAAATAACCCTGTATATATAACTATAATCAATAACTCAATAAAAGGTAACAAATACAGTGCCAAAAGAAACACCTCTTTGATATTAATATCAAAGAGGTGTTTCTTTTTTTAAAAAAAAAACAAGTCTCTGACATTAATGTCTATACATCGAAAAATTTAAACTAGCATGGTCTAATCATCGAGCCAACATTAAGTAAATCTTGTCGCGAACCCGTAGGGGTTCGTGTATCGTACTTTGAGAATTACTGACCACTGACCAAGGACATTTTGTCAGTTATTAAATTCCTAAAACCTGTCTTAAAAACATTATACTGAACAGGTTCACATCAGAAGCGAAAGACAAACCAATGGGCGCTGGTATACTGATAACGACGTATTCAATGATCACTCACGGTCAGCGTCGATCTTGGGAAGCGGAGCAGACTATGAAATGGTTACAGGCGCAGGAGTGGGGGCTTGTAGTACTGGACGAAGTTCACACTATACCGGCCAAGATGTTCCGACGAGTTCTTACTATTGTACACTCTCATGCTAAACTAGGTAAGTACCTATCTGTCTTTAATATTAAGTAAATTACAAACTAATGTAATCAGTCTCGTGCTTAATATATTTCTGCTAAATCGATTTAATTTATATAGACATCTTTGTACCTTAATTTACTTTATTTCTTCAAATATAAAAACATGAAATTCCGCTTACTTCAAATTAAAATTTGTTTTAAACTGAATTTAAATAGAGAAGTTGCGTAGTGTAAAATACGTCACGTTACACTAGAAAGAAGAGGGGATAAATGTCGTTGGCTTCAAGCCATGGGAGCGTAGACATGATCGACAGTCATGTATTTTAACAAATAATTTTTACCTTTAATACATACTTAGTTTTATTAACCTATATATTTGTTTTATTTCCTCGCAAAAAGCATTGAAAAATGTTGTAAAAAAACTTGAGCGTAAAAGGTTTTTCGAATTCGTGCCAATGAAAACACGCTCGTGTTTTCAATTTGGCCCTTATTCGTAAAACCTTACTTTCCGCACTCGTATCTTAAATAACTATTATGGATTTGTTTCATAGTGCAATAAATAATATTCATTTCATAACATAAAACTGGCCCACGATGTGATCAGCAACGAGAAGGTCAAAAAACCGTGATAAACAGACTGATGCTTTACTAGATTCTTTTGAATCAGGTTTAACGGCGACGTTGCTCCGTGAGGATGACAAAATAGCTGACTTAAACTTCCTCATCGGTCCGAAGCTGTACGAAGCCAACTGGCTGGAGCTCCAAGCCGCCGGTTATATTGCTCGCGTGCAATGCGCCGAAGTATGGTGCGATATGACGCCAGAATTCTACCGCGAGTACCTCATTCAAAAGTATGTCACAAATAATACTTTACAGTCGATACTATGCGAACCAAAAACGAATAGTAGTATACAACAGCTCTAAGCACTGAGATGGAACTCAATGGTTAGAGCAGTCGGATTGCGAAAGGTCGTGAGCTCGAATCCCATCTTAGAGTACCCGGGCGCTGGTGGATTTTTAAGCATTTTTCATTAAGAAGAATATTTTCCAGGATAGCATTATGAATGTCAATTTTATTAAATAATAAGAATAGTATCGTTAAACAGTCGTCTCGGTTCGTAAGTGTGTAAGATGTGCAAAAAAATTGATGAAAATATTAACTTTTTTAAATCAAGGCATTAACCCATTTTGGCACCCTTGACATTTATAATTGAACCCGAAATCATAAAATAGGCCTTGGGTGGCGGGTACGTTGCGACAAAAATCACCAATTTCATATAATAATAATAACTTTTTTATTGTCACATAAACATGCAACAAGACAATGTGAAGTGTTCGACTTCTGCGCTAAATATAACCTGAGTGGCAGAAGTCAGCGCCCTCTTCCATGTTACTAGTAACTAATAATTTATATTAACAAAAAGATACAAATAAATTACTTACTCTTATCTGCTACAATAATAGAAATACAGAGTAAATCATGTGAGGTGAGTAGCACGAAGTATTAATGATAATAGAGAAGATGTGTGAACCACTGATATTGGTGCATGGAGGGAAGGGTTAAAATACTTTCAGCTAGTTGCACAAGCTACCATTAAAATTTGCAATAGTTTAAAACGACATTACCCTTACAAATTTGACACACATTAGAGCTTAAAGGTGTCATTAAACCGTAATGAACGTTTGTGCAACTAAGCGTTTGACTATTAAATATGGATTCCGTTTGATCGCTTTAAGTTATTTAAGGCGAGATATTTAGCAAGAAGAACTTTTCTTTAATTTAGAAAATATACTCCCGATTTCTGAATTGAGAATTTAAAGTTAGGAACATCTCAAACTATACTTAAACGGACAATCAAATCTTTGCTCTTTATAATATTGTATATATGTATACCTCGGAGGCTAATTACTCTAGCTTATACTGTGAATATTTATTTATCCTAATCAGGATCAACAAGAAGATGCTTCTCTACGTGATGAACCCCACAAAGTTCCGCTCTTGTCAGTTCCTGGTTCGTTATCACGAGCGTCGCGGTGACAAGACCATAGTGTTCTCAGATAACGTGTTCGCGTTACGTCACTACGCGGTCAAGATGAACAAACCATATATATACGGACCCACGTCGCAGGGCGAACGTATACAGATATTGCAAAACTTCAAGTTCAACCCTAAAGTTAACACTATATTCGTGAGCAAAGTGGCCGATACTAGTTTCGATTTACCAGAAGCGAATGTGCTTATTCAAATTTCGTCGCATGGCGGTTCTAGACGACAAGAGGCGCAGAGATTAGGTAAATAATTTGTATAAAAAATAATTTGTAAATATTAGACTTACGCCCAGTTGCAGAACCGTCCGGTATGGTTTAATGACGACTTTTATCTAATGAATTTTCTAAATTTTGTAAATTTGTATCGGTTATCAGTCAGTTGCATAAACGCCCATTAACATGTTAATGAGTTAATGCCACATTACCCATACAATTTAGAATATTCCTTAGTGCTTAAAGTCGCTATTAAACCTTAATGAACGTTTCTGCAAGAGCAGTACATGCATTGCTCAGATTCCAAGATGAGTAGCTAAAGCCTTCGTATTATGGAGTAACGGTGACAACAAAGGTAACATAACATCCAGACCTGAGACGATATAGAAAAGTTCATTTTCTACATTGATCCGTCCTGTAATCGAACCTCGGAGCCGACCGACCTCACCAACATTGCTCTATCGAGCTCCTCATTCTTCATTATTACAAAATTTGAAATACTATAATAGCGTTTTGTTTGTTATTTTGTTAACAGGTCGTATTCTGAGAGCGAAGAAAGGTGCCTTAGCAGAAGAATACAACGCGTTCTTTTACACTCTCGTGTCAAAAGATACACTAGAAATGGCGTACAGTCGTAAACGACAGAGGTTTTTAGTTAACCAAGGTTATAGTTACAAGGTAAAAATTGTTTTAGACTATTCTACTAAGTGGTTAAATCGGAAGTTAATTTCGATTCTTATCAATTCTCTTAAATGTATAGGTTATCACTGCACTTAAAGGGATGGATCAAGAGCCAGACTTAATGTATGGAACTCGTGAGGAACAAGGCATGTTGCTCCAACAAGTAAGTATATTTTTTACATTATTAGTAGGGTAGTTTCGTTAGTGAAAAATAAGTCACGAAATTGTACAAGCACTAAAATTTACATTGTAATAAATATAGAGATTCTGATTTTTTCTTATTATCTTAAAATTAAAAGTAGATATTTTATGTCCGTATGTCACGTGATTTGAAACACGACCCGCCATCGTGTGACGTCGCCTCTGCAACATCTGTCAGATTAGTTGTTCACATATGCATATTTTTTATAAATCAAATTCCTAGATGGCGTTGTTCTTATCTTATTTATATATTTTATTTTGTAGTAGATAGCTAGAGTGCCATCTAGCTAGTTTTATTGACATCTTTGAATATACTACTCTATGCATCTGTTTTGTGTTCATATCGAAATGACGCAGTGAATATGGCGGACAGTGTTTTTTCGGGTATAAAAAAAAATTAATGTTAATGCAAGAAAACGTGTTAAATTTTCCGAAATATTTTTAATAATAATAATTACATATTCTTTTTGAAACAGAGTAGAATGCGCTATGTTTGGAAAAAGTATTTTTAAAACTGTCATATGATATTAAACCACTAAAAGATTATTTTTCTCCAAAACGTGTTATTAAATTGCAATTAAAAGCAAAACATATTGTTATTCTTTAATATAAATTGTCCCGGGAAAACAATAAGTCACTTGTAAAGACAGGCAAAGTGTTTCTGCCCAGCGGACAGATAAGGAACAAACCCAGGCATTTTGAAAATAAATCTTATTTGTCCGATAAACACCCGATTAATGCCCGATTTTGACCCGTAAGATAGTAGAGATTTAGTCATTAATAATCAGTGGTCAAAAACAGTTTTACATCTCTAGCATCAATAATGACAGACTTCCATGTAAACTTTCAACTCTTAAACAGTTATTTACTCATTTTTCAAATTATATTATTTTTGTATAAGTAGATTTATTTATATGTTTCTACTTAAGCTTGTACTTGTAATATATATTTACTTATCTTTAACAACAAAACACAACTTAGTCTTTCGTTTAATTTTCAAATAAATTTTGTTTAATAATATAAATATGCCCAGTAGGCGGGAACTAACTTTTCTCATCGGGAAAAACACAATTCGACCAAAACGCCCGGGCATCACGGTCACGTGATATTTCGAGCCGTGACGTCACACTTCACTAAAGAGTGGAGTATAATGACACGAAATATACCGTATCCTATAATCGCTTCCCAGGGGAGCGACCGCTCAACTCACATTAACTCTAGCCTTTGCTGAATCAATTAATATGTTTATATTTTTTTATAATGTATATTTAATGAACGGTTTTGGTTATTGTAGTTTACTGAATTAGTCAAACAAAACAAAGCTATTTCCAAATTAAAAATAGACCAAAATGTTTCATTAAATATATTATTATAAAAAAATATCATACAAATAATTGATAAAATCAATAAAACGTATTCATAGCTATAAATAGAGTTAGTTATAGCCAGAGTCATTAGATGGCACTGTTCTTGTTTTATCATGACATCTTTGAATCTTCTACTCTATGCATATATTTTGTGTACATATCACAATGAAGTCATAAATATGACGGACGGACGGAAAAAAACATATTTTGATTTATATTTAAGGCAAGAAAACGTTATTTTTCCGAAATATTTGCTGTAAAGCTTTTTTTTAATAAAAATAAACAGTTACATGTATTATTTCGAGCAGAGTAGAACGTCCTATTTGCGGGGATTTCACTAACGGCGTAAGGGTGTCGCGTCGTGTACAGGTGCTGGCCGCGACTGAGACGGATTGCGAGGATGAGCGCGAGGGCGCGGTGGGCGGGGGCGGGGGCGCGCGGCGGGCGGCCGGCGCGCTCTCCTCGCTCGCGGGCGCTGACGACGCGCTATACCTGGAGCGGCGGCACGCCACCAACAAACACCCGCTCTTCAAAAAGTTCCGATACTGAACTCATGGTAGGGTACTTTTTTTTAAATAATCATTTATTCACGCCTGTGGACACAGGTCCTTCAGCCGAATACAATTTATATAATTTCTTGCAAATTTCTTAAAAAAAATTTTTTGTTTGTTGTATGTAACGGTGTCTTTATGATATTTGAGAGGTGGCAGATTGATACTCTCGAATACGGGATCTCACCTAGCGAGATATCAATCCGCCATAATTATTATTTTACGTATCTAACCATTACATTTGTTAAAATATATATATAAATTATGTAATAGGTCTTTACCTATAAAATTGCCGTTCTGCGATACTGGCCATTTCAAATCAAAATATTTTTTAAAATAAAATATGGAATTCTTTTTTCTAAAATCATCATGGATAAGTTAAAAATTCGAGCAATAATGGAGTATGAGTACAGTCATGGCAGTAGAGCACAACAGAGCGAACACTACAAACGAACGCACTGCCCGTTGTTGGTTTGCCAGATTCTATTCTGGAAATTTTAACCTGAAAAATGAACCCCGTGGTAGTCCGAAAACTTTAGTCGACAATGATGAATTAAAGGCGATTGTGGAAGCTGAAACTCGAATCTACGGCTAAATTAGCAGCAGCTTTCGACGTTAACGTCAAAACAACATTGGTCTATTTGCGTCAAATTGGCAGTGATCACTAGAGCGAAGTACGCGTTGAGACGTGCCTTGCACTGCTGAACAGACATACAAATGAAGGAATTGTGAACTCCATTGTTACATGTGACAAGAAATGGATGCTATTCGACAATCGTAAGCTCTCAGCAAGTTGGTTGGACCCTTGTTCAGCACCCAAGCAATGCCCTAAAACGATTGATCACTGTTTGGTGATCTAACGCGGATGTAATTCATCAAAACTTCGTACCAATCGGGACGAGCCTTACTGCAGTTGTGTACTGTGAAGAACTGAACACAATGATGGAGAAGCTCGCACGTCTCCAACCAGCTTTGGTCAAATGAAAAACGGCAATTTCATGGGTAAAGACCTAATATTTAACATTTATAAAATAGCTACATATCAAATATATTTGAACAAAGGGATAAAATAATCTGGATTGGCTAAAAATTCTATCCCACCGAAATCATTTTCATGTAAAGTGTTGCCAAGCCGAGACCATTTATGACTCGAACTGTCAAAAGTTTTAAGACTGTTGATGTCGTAGAAACAAGATTCTAGCTCTACAAGCCGTTACTTCATAAACACTAAACCTTATTGATGTGGCTGAAAAATTTATTCACAGTTCATTACTTTTCTGTTATGCCATGGTCCTTACTTGTAGAAACGAAACTAATTGTTTTGAATAAGATGTAGGGTTATGCCAAGTGCAATTGAAACTGTATTTTTAAAAAGTTCGTTATTGGGATTACATCCCAAACATTTGATACCTTGCGTTATGTTATGATTACACTAGATAAGTGTAATTCAAACATCGTATTATTACATTTTTTTACAGGTACTGATGTTCCGACATACACGACTTATCATATCTTTATACAAAGAAACCTATACAAGCGTGTCTCTTATATGCACCTTACACTATGGCAACAGTTCTCTGCTACCTTCAGTTTTATCTACTGTTCCGTTTACTACATATCACATACAACTCATCGACATTCAAAATAAAATAATAATAATTCGACTAGCGCCTTTCATTTCCACTTTCCTCGTAACCTTAATTTTATATAAATATATGAAATGCTAATGACAAATTTTATATAACAGTAAAACGGAGACCGAGAAGGGTGTGCCGGAATGGGCGATTGTGGAGCTGCAAGGTTTGATTCAGATGAAGAACGAAACTCCAGGAACTACGGTTGTCGGCGATATAAATTTCTTCAATAGGAACCGCCATCCAGTATTAGTACTTGGGCATCATGTACTGAATGGCAAGGAAACAAAACTGGATCAACCTATGGCGGTCATTGAAAAAGTCATCGTTGAAGGCAAAACAAAGTATTGTGTTAGGGCCATTGTAAAGAAAAAACTCCTGTTTAAGTCTAGACCGAAACCAATTATATCAAATGTTGCAGAAAAAATATGATAAATGTTTGATTATAATCAGTAATGTTAGTTTCATTTACTCACCTTTTTTTATAATGCGGAGGAAATGCACCTTAAGGCTCAAATCGGGGCTCTCCAGTTAGTGTTGTAAAAGAACTGAGTCTTTTAGTCCTAATATTGAGACTGGAGTCTTTTTTTGAAGACTCAAGTCAAAAAAGAGTAAGTTAAAGCTTAAGCCTCTTTGAGTTTTTAGTCTTCTTAAAATAGACTCCAGTCTTGCCAAAGAGAACTCGAGACTGAGTCTTTTAAAAGAGCTCACTCTTTACAAAAAGAACTCCAGACTAAGTCCTTCAAATAAAAACTTAGCTTTCCTAAAAAGAACTAGCGACTGAGTCCTTTTAAAAAGAGCTCAGTCTTACGAAAACCTACTTACACTTATAATTATAACGCGACAAGCCAGCTACACTGTGCGCCTTGTGATCGTGTTTCTAAAACCAAATTTGGATT